ATTTAAGTGCCCACATACCTGAAAAAAGGCATCTTTGGTAGATTCACAGTTACAGAAAGTGATTGTAATATAACGCATGGTTTAGGCTTCTACATGGGGCTCCCCCATTCAGTGTGTCATCTAATCAGAAAGCCTTGTACAAAGTACAAATGTCTTTCGACGGATGTCCTGATATAGTTTACATGGAAGCAATTTAAAAAATAAGAAAAGATAATCAGAAAACCTCCTTCTGAGTGCAAAAGTTGAAAACGCTCCACATTTTCCTCTCGACAACGGAAAAGTGTGTTTTTTATGACGCCCTTCTGCACATGTTGCCATAAAGATAAAAAAACAAAAGATTTAACTAAAGATACCATTGAGTATTTTTTGTTAAACACAAGGACTGCCACATACTTTCCACCACCACAAACTGTCCCTTTGACTGCTGTGTGTCATCTAAATATCAATAATATATTATAATATTTTTGAAGCAAGAATTGTGTTGTTTAGCATAGCCATGAAGCCTACATACATTCTTAAAAAACTGCCAAACTGCCATTTGCTTGCCTCAGTTTGCCCCACAGGCCAAAGCAATGAGTTTGTCGTGTATTGTGCACTCAAGTGCCAGTAGCAATGGTCCACGCTGTCTGAAATTGTCAGATATAAAATGCCCCGCTGATTGGGATACACAATTTTTAGATTATAGATGAAATATTATTGTATATTTGGTGCAAAGAGAAGGCAATTTTAAACATGACCATAAAATGGTTGAAATGCTTTCTGTTGGTGGTGTTTATTATATATAAGGATAATAAAACACAGTTGTTTTTTCAACGTAGTAATACAGAAAGCAAAAGTGATGTTATCATGCTAGCAAGCTAGTTCTACATGTAGCCCTAATGTTAACAGTAGGCTAAGGCCACGTTACGGCTGAATAATATCCCAATAAATACCCTCGGCAGCTTTGAGGCACTTGCCTCCCCACAGAACCTACACACCTGATGAGTTTCTCCGTGTGCGTGTCTGTAAAATGGTTGTATCGTTTTGGTTGCTGAGAAGATTCGAAAGACCAGGTCAGAATAACATGAAGCAAAACTACTGGAGAGGATCACAATAAAACAAGAGTGGCCCTTTGAATGAATGAACGTGTTAAAGAGATGCTGATTTAGTATTTTCAGCCGACCGTGGTCAAGCTCACTCAACATTTCCCTGCCTAACCCAGTACGGTCTGGTTAGGTGTTTCTCTGTAACAGAGTTTTTGATTCAACATCTGCTGCATACATAGGCTAAAATAGAAAGTCGTTAAGATGACAAATGATTCCTTGTTATGTTCTATTTGACTTTCCTCACAGTGTTCACCGTGGGACATCTTCATACTGAGAGTTCTAGTGTGAGATCAATCAGGCATGTCTAATATCTATGTCTATGATACGAACGTTTACTTGGAATTTACAATTTCTTATCATAAACAATAAGCACTAACATCCATAAACAATCTTGGACATTTAAAGTCATAATCAAAACTACTGCACCTGTAAGCAAACACCTAGTTGTTTTTGGTAAATCAAACCGAAATATTCTATTCAGCAACCAGTGATTGAGCTGTTAATGCAGACTACATCACTTTTCAGGAGATCCAAAGACGCTTCACATGGAATTATTAATTTATTACACACTAGGGGCAGCAGCCACATCTGCCCTGGGACAGATTGATGGAAGCAAGTCACTGAGTCTGTGCCATCAGCTGCTCCGACCACCAATCATTCACACACACTGACCTCGTACTACTCGTTGAAATAAAGTGAACTTCATGGTTCAGTTATGATTGAGACTCTGTTTGCAAAACTATGGTGAAGAGGCGAATGTTGGATGGAGGAGGATCCCTGGTCTTGTATCTGTTCAACCCCCTCTCCCCTTCTATGTAAACAGAGCAGAGCAGTAGAGGGAGGGCAGCTCACTGGAGGAATGTCTGGTATGACTCTAGCGGCCGGGGGAGGGGCTCCGTGGCTGTTAGGTTAGAGGTTAGGAGGCCGAAAGGAAGAGGGACTAGTGGATGCTTGTGCTTACTTAATCTCAAAGGTTAGGACCTTTAAATGTGTCACATGCTGTCACTGCCAGAAGATCGCAGAGCTAAAATAAAACACCGGACAGTACATGAATGTTTTAATCCACACTCAAGGTTAGAATAAGTGCTAATGCACTCATGCATTTTTACATTTATAACTATTTTAGAATCACGTAAGAAACTATATGTCTGCTGGATTAATTGGCCTTTGATCACTCTGAAAATATAAATAATGACCTTTATTTACATACAAAGATAAATATTAATAGTCTCTATTAGAATGATGCTGTTGTTTGATGAGAGGGTTTCAAGGAAACAAAGGGCTTCAGGTCTATTTGAAAATACATATCACTGTGATTCAATTCATGTTACAATTATATCATAAATATCCCAAGCTCACAATCAAGGCATCCATGTGAAGTAATTTTGTACTAAATTGTGAATATTTTTAGAACCTGAAGGTAGGGTGCTGCAGTGGCCTTCTTGTTGTGATGGGTTCGATTCCTGGGCCCGACAGAGCCTGTCTGTATTTGCATGTTCTCCTCTAAGAACATGTACAATAGTTCAGGGTGAATCAGTGTGTGTGGGAGAATGGAAGAACATTATCCCATGGCAACAATCCGGTGTATTTACAGCACTGCTGTTCATTCATTCACACTGTCCCATACAAATAGGCAAGGCAAGGCAAGTTTATTTGTATAGCACAATTCATACACAAGGCAACTCAAAGTGCTGAACATATAGACAAATAAACAATACTTGCGAAAGTATTCGGCCCCCTTGAACCTTTCAACATTTCGCCACATTTCAGGCTTCAAACATAAAGATATAAAAAAAAATTGTGAAGAATCAACAACAAGTGGGACACAATCGTGAAGTGGAACGAAATTTATTGGATAATTTAAACTTTTTTAACAAATAAAAAACTGAAAAGTGGGGCGTGCAATATTATTCGGCCCCCTTGCGCTAATACTTTGTAGCGCCACCTTTTGCTGCAATTACAGCTGCAAGTCGCTTGGGGTATGTCTCTATCAGTTTTGCACATCGAGAGACTGGAATTCTTGGAGGTTGGATGGAGAGCGTTTGTGAACAGCAGTCTTCAGCTCTTTCCACAGATTCTCGATTGGATTCAGGTCTGGACTTTGACTTGGCCATTCTAACACCTGGATACGTCTATTTGTGAACCATTCCATTGTAGATTTGGCTTTATGTTTTGGATCATTGTCCTGTTGGAAGATAAATCTCCATCCCAGGTCTTTTGCAGACTCCAACAGGTTTTCTTCCAGAATGGTCCTGTATTTGACTCCATCCATCTTCCCATCAATTTTAGCCATCTTCCCTGTCCCTGCTGAAGAAAAGCAGGCCCAAACCATGATGCTGCCACCACCATGTTTGACAGTGGGGATGGTGTGTTCAGGGTGATGAGCTGTGTTGCTTTTACGCCAAACATATCGTTTTGCATTGTGGCCAAAAAGTTCGATTTTGGTTTCATCTGACCAGAGCACCTTGTTCCACATGTTTGGTGTCTCTCCCAGGTGGCTTGTGGCAAACATTAAACAAGACTTTTTTATGGATATCTTTGAGAAATGGCTTTCTTCTTGCCACTCTTCCATAAAGGCCAGATTTGTGCAGTGCACGACTGATTGTTGTCCTATGGACAGACTCTCCCACCTCAGCTGTAGTTATCTGCAGTTCATCCAGAGTGATCATGAGCCTCTTGTCTGCATCTCTGATCAGTCTTCTCCTTGTTTGACATGAAAGTTTGGAGGGACGGCCGGGTCTTGGTAGATTTTCAGTGGTCTGATACTCCTTCCATTTCAATATAATTGCTTGCACAGTGCTCCTTGAGATGTTTAAAGCTTGGGAAATCTTTTTGTATCCAAATCCGGCTTTAAACTTCTCCACAACAGTATCTCGGACCTGCCTGGTGTGTTCCTTTGTCTTCATGGTTCTCTCTGCGCTTTAAACAGAACCCTGAGACTATCAAAGAGCAGGTGCATTTATACGGAGACTTGATTACACACAGGTGCATTCTATTTATCATCATCAGTCATTTAGGACAACATTGGATCATTCAAAGATCCTCACTGAACTTCTGGACTGAGTTTGCTGCACTGAAAGTAAAGGGGCCGAATAATATTGCACGCCCCACTTTTCAGTTTTTTATTTGTTAAAAAAGTTCAAATCATCCAATACATTTCGTTCCACTTCACGATTGTGTCCCACTAGTTGTTGATTCATGACAAATGAAAATGTTATATCTTTATGTTTGAAGCCTGAAATGTGGCAAAATGTTGAAAGGTTCAAGGGTGCCGAATACTTTCGCAAGGCACTGTACATAAGGACAGCTCATGTTTCACCTGTAAAATATTATTATAAGATTTCATTACATTCGTCAGCACTCTTTGTGGCAGAACTGTGACTCTGACTTGTTCTGTAGATTTCAGTCCATAAACACAACATAGGAAAGTGTCAAAGCCATATGGAGGATTTCCCATGTCAGGTCATGTCAGGTCGGAACATTTTATTTTCAATACATATTTCTACCTGTGGTCATTTGTGCACAAAATCCTTAAAAAAGCACTGGTTGGAGAAAGAGACAGAGAAAGCTTTTTTTAGTTTAGTGTGAAATGTTGTGCATATATGATGTTGCATAACGGTATGCCAAAATATCCATATGGTGATACTGTATATCCTGATCATTTGTCTCGCTAAGTATCAATATTTTAATTTCATAAAAGGTGAGCATGTTTTTCATGATCTCATGCCGATTCTTGTTATTATGGCCATTCTTTCATAAATGATATACATTATTTTGGTTTGGAAGTCCCTTACTGTCATACTTGAGCGTTGTTGGTATTTGGATAATTTCTTCAATAACATAATTGTTTAATGAACAAAACAAGCTTACCCATGCACTCTTATTTACAAGACGTTCTTTTGTGTGTTTCCGCAGCCATAGAAACTGAAAGCACGAGTTCAGGGGAAGACCTCCTAGTGCCCAGCCCCCCTTCACCGCCCCCTCCTCCCCGCATCTACAAGCCTTGTTTTGTCTGTCAGGACAAATCTTCTGGATACCACTACGGAGTCAGTGCTTGCGAAGGATGCAAGGTACGCCTATTACCGACCAGAAGAAGAAAACCAAAGCTCTTGTAGCCTCTATTTGAGTGCAGAGTGTGAGGAAGCGTCCTTGTATAATGTGGCAGTGCAGAGGTCCTGACCTTTACACCTCCTGGCAGATCTGTAAGCCTCTTTCTCCATCTAATCCCCCGCACAAAGAATGACCACATGTAGTTAATGTGCAGTACAATGATGTTAGTGCTTTCATGGGATGCCTGGACAGTAGCCCATCATCAACACACAAATCAGTCACTCTTTGATCAAACAAAGGATTAGAGTGCACTTAGCAGCTGCAGCAGTGCACCACTTGATGGTCATCCGGCTATTTAGTTTCACTTTAACTGTTTTTTATAGCACAAGCTGCTTTTACATAAGTATGATTAGGATTAGGATCAGCACAACAATTCAATGTATTAAAATGTTTTTCAGGGTTTTTTTCGACGAAGTATCCAGAAGAATATGGCGTACACATGTCACAGAGACAAAGTGTGTGTCATCAACAAAGTGACACGGAACCGCTGTCAGTCCTGCCGGCTGCAGAAATGCCTGGATGTCGGCATGTCAAAAGAGTGTGCGTATCACCATTGGTCTACATGTTAGCAAAGCAAAAACAGTTTCAAGGGAAAAATGTGGCGCTAAACTGTGCTGAGTCAACTCACTTCAAACAGAACCACCAAAAATAACCAACGTGGGTCACTGCCTCTTTTGGGTCACTGTAGGCTTGCATTAGTGCCATGTTAACTTAGATATGTACGCCCCCTGGTGGTGGGTTGGATGAATTCTTTTTGTAGGGTCTGCCCTTTGAATCCATCAACATTTTGAACCAAAAAACATGGTGGAGTATAGAAAAACCAGCATGTTGTGGTCTAATCTGTTCACGTTTTACTTTCACTCTTTCTCTTGGGACAAAATAAATAAATAAACAACAAAAATAAATGTTCCTGTATAGGGAAAAATAAAGAAAACCCAACCCATACATGCATTTAAAATGATGATTATTATTATGTCTATTTTATAATGTTAATATTATTTGTGTGATTCAGTGGTACGTAATGACCGAACAAAAAAGAAGAAGGAGGATAAGAAGCAGGCTGAACCCGAGGTGTACGTGCTGTCTGCGGAGACAGAGGAGATGATCGAGAGAGTACGACGGGCACACCAGGGCACTTTCCCTTCACTGGGGCAGCTCGGCAAATACACTACGGTAAGACACACTGCACAAGGCATTCTGAGGCAACAAAAATCTTCCTAGTGATGTACGGGAGGTCTTATCTCTAGCATTGTTTAAGTCTAAGCTGAAAAAGGTTCTTTTTAGCGGTGCATATGACTGAGTTTTATGTATAGATTCTTTTTAATACAGTTTTTTGACACTCTTTTTTTTTCCTTTTTCATTATTGTTGTACCTTATGTTATATGAATTGTGCCTTATAAATAAACTTGACTGATTGATGAATAATATTATATAGTAGTGCAAACCTCTCATCCTAAGCTACTTTACTACTGCCTTGTGGAAGGTTGTGACGCCACGCAAACACAGACTTATATTTCTAACATGCTTCTATGTTTCCTCATCAGAACAACAGTGCAGAGCATCGAGTAGCTCTCGATGTCAACCTATGGGACAAGTTCAGTGAGCTGTCCACCAAATGCATCATAAAGACTGTGGAGTTCGCCAAGCAGCTCCCCGGCTTCACCACACTGTCCATCGCCGACCAGATCACGCTGCTCAAAGCCGCCTGCCTCGACATACTGGTCAGTGGAAACGAAACATCCAGTTTATTCATACATTTGATTCTGAAGGGGGGTCCGCAATGGTTCTTTTTTGGTTTATATTTTTTATGATAAATACTTATGAATGTAGATGTGATGCTTGTCAATGGGTGTCATAGAGTTGCAGGCAGAAACACTCTATATTTATATTATCAAAAAATATGAATCTAAAAATCTGTTTGGTGCGGGTCATTTCTGCCTCCCACGTATTCAGAGACTCTGAACCAGGACCGGACCAGGCGTAAACCAGATCTCAATAAATGGGTCTTTGCCTGTTTTTAGAGATACACACACGCACAGGCACTGTCTCTGAGGACAGCGCAGATGTTTCTACTTGAGAAATGATCGGATCTGATGTGGAAGTCACAGCAGTCCTTCTTCTACAATAATATAATGAGTATTTCCTGCCTCTGTTCTGTGGTAGATTCTGAGGATCTGCACACGCTACACTCCGGACCAGGACACCATGACGTTCTCAGACGGCCTGACGCTGAACCGCACACAGATGCACAACGCAGGCTTCGGCCCCCTCACAGACCTGGTCTTCTCCTTTGCCAGTCAGCTGCTGCCGTTGGAGATGGATGATGCAGAGACAGGGCTGCTCAGCGCCATCTGCCTGTTGTGTGGAGGTATTTCACTCTTCATGATATAAAACAACATTGATTTCATAGTAGTTATTTTTATAAATACTTATTTTTAACATCTCTTATCTATTTTTAACATCTAAGATTTGGTTTTCAGATCGGCAGGACTTGGAAGAGGGAGACAAGGTGGATGTTCTACAGGAGCCTTTGCTTGAGGCCTTAAAGGTTGGACAAATTATCCTTTATTCCTGTTTGTTGGGGAATTGGTTGTAAAAAGCAAAGTTTTGTGCTCTCATGGCACTCACTCAGATAATAAACTTGCCAAGATCAGGCTTTCACGTCCAGTTGGCACCCAAAAAATAGTATTATCGTAAGAGATATTAGTTGTGATTTAAAACAGACATAATTATAGGTTCCAATAGAAGTACACGTGCATGCATATGTGTAAACCCAAGGGCAGCTCTGTCTGTCATTCTTTGACATTGGACACACAGCAACAATCCTTTAATCATCAGGACATGTTACAAATGCACAAACTCTGAGTTCAAATCCAAGTGATGTGTGTGTTTGTGCGGAGGGGTTGATGGCTCAGATTAGTAGCCGCCCTTACATCCAGGGCAGCTGTGGCTACATTAGTAGTTTACCACCACTGTGTATGGAGTGAATGAATAATGCCTTTTCCAAAGATTGTCCATAATGCTCAACAGTAAACCAATAGGTGATTATTAGTATGAATATGATGTGCCCTATTGACACAGGTTACAAATAACAGCTTAATGAAATGTCTCCAATCGTTTTTTGTTGTAGATTTACGTTCGGCGGCGGAGGCCTGAAAAGCCCTGTATGTTTCCCAAGATTCTCATGAAGATTACTGACCTCAGGAGCATCAGTGTGAAGGGTGAGTCACACTCTCCATTCTCTCTGTTGTCTGGGGCATTTTTCTTTAGTGAATGCCACATTAGAGTCCATTCCATTTTGTTTTGATTTTAAACAACACATTTCCTATCTTCAAATCCACTATTGAGATAATAACCATTCCTTACTTCTACTGGACTCTGTGGTCCATAGCAGAATGTATTTTGCCGCGGATGAAACACCTGATCTTCAATAGAAATAAATAGTGATGCACAAGAGGTTGCATAAGGTGTCATAATAGGGCCAATGTGAACATGCCGATAAATATTTCAGTGTATTTTATGTGTATGTCGACTTTGATGTGAGTGTGGGGCATAAGCACAAGCGCATAGTTGTACGCATCACATGAAGCAGGTGTTGAAGCGAGTGTAGTTTTTTATATATACACTATATATATTAGTAATATCAGTCGGCCATGACTGCAATATTAATAGTTATCGATATCGACCTCAATTTTCACAATGGTGCATCACTGGAAATGAATAAAATACTATTCTTTTGTAATGTCTTAAAATAGTTGTATAGAGAATAGTAAATAGTAGAATAGTTAACTTCTGTTTTTTTGGATATTTTTTAGATTAATAAACAAAACACTCTTTTTACAATTAATTATATTATTCATTTGTTTTTATTACGTATATTCAAGGGTAAAACAGGTTTTACTTAAACACATGAAAAAACTTGTGCAGGCTTCTTAAAACTACAGAAAATACAAAAAATCAAGCAGATGTTTGGCTTGTAATTCAATAAATGTTTGCTCACAATTTATGAATGACGTTTTCAGGAGCCGAGCGCGTGATCACCCTGAAGATGGAGATCCCTGGCTCCATGCCTCCACTTATCCAGGAGATGTTAGAGAACTCTGAGGGCGATGGACAGAAGGGGCACGGTGCAGGAGGGAAGGGGAGATCACCCAGAGGAGACACGAGCGCTCTCAACTCGCCCAGCGCCTCCCCACAGTCCTCCCCCATGCCCTGCTCCTCCCCCTGCTCCCCCATGGCCACCCCCTCCACATGAACCAGCAGAGTCCACGGCACAGGCACCAACACTTCCACACAGACCTCAGACCTCCACTGCTGCAGACTGACCACTAGAGGGCAGAAGACAACAGGACTTTCCTATAGGATAAATATTACAGTATATGCAGACTGGAGCCACTTTCATGCTTACTTTGTTTTTTCTTTACTATATGCATTTGTCAAACAACATTCAACCAATGTCAGTATTTTGTTATTAATGCTTGAAGCTGGGTTACCTAATTTTTAAACCACAACATTTTTACGATGTTTTAAAAATGCATGTATATTTTGGCCTCTCATATATTTTGATCAGATTTTTTCAGATGGACAAGTGAAGGAGAGGGCTTCCTAGGGCTCTTTCTGTGATAAGTCTGCAAAAGATTTCTAAAAGGAGCATGTGGTGGTGTGATTTGAGATTATCTTTCTGTTAAGACAAAAAACATGGATATGTCTTTGTGAGAAACAAGTTAGATACCCCAGCTTTAATGTTATTAGTTTGGGGGAAACGACAACACTCTGTTTTGGGGGGAAAGACTCAAGTATTCACACTTTCCTGTTTTGACTCAGTATTAATATATTGCATTTCAAACGTGAAATAAGAAAATTCACAGTCCAAATGATAACGATGATTATAATCTGTTAATACAACATTTCAAGAGACACTGTTTATTGTAATAATAATAATAATAGTAAAACATCATGCTTATTTAGCGCTCAAATATCATTTACAAAGGAACAGGTTAATAAGGAACAAATTAAATAAATCTAAAATAAACAGTTAAGTGTAGGCCGTTAATGAAACAAGTGGGTTTTGAGTCTGAGTTTCTGTCTTGAGTCTGAGATGTGTTGCTCTCAGTAATCTCCATAATAAGTTATCCATGTGCACATCTGCAAAGGCTGCCGTCTTGTTCATGTCTTTTAAACCGTTCTAATTGTCGATGTTAGCCGTCTGAATCCGCACTAAAGTAAGTATAAAAGTGGCTTTGTATTTTTTTGCGATCATTTGTGTTCTAAAGACCACAGCAATATGTGATTTATTCATGCATAAAGTAAATGTGAGACAAGTTATGCAAAGTACCTATTATGTAAAATAGTGTAAATACAAAATGGATGTGGGACAATAGGACAACAAAGAGTGACTAAAACAATATTTTCCTAAATGTACATGTGTAAATATTGACTATTGTTTTTGCTGTATTTATGAAAATGTAAGAGTCACCAGTACTACCCACACTGCCAGGCATCAGCTATGACACGGACACATCAGGGAATAGCTTTTTTTATCTGTACCTCACAAAATATATATATATATGAAAATATGTGTAGTCTATTATCTTCCACATGCTTTGAACAGAAATGTCACACCTTTGTACGTTTTGGGTACAATTCCTCATGACTGCTGTTGACACGCTCTGCAAGTTAACTTTTGTTTTTATGGGATGGTGCAAAGAGCAAACTGTTGTCATTTCAGATTAAATCAACTACACAATATCAAGGACTGTTTGGAGTTTTTGTTTTCCATTTTAAAAACCAGGAATGGCGTTTGGTTTGTTGTCTTTGATGGAGTCTTATCTATTCCCCACAGAAACAGAATATATAGCTGTATGTTTATGAAAGCAGTTTGGCTTCAGGAGAGCTTACTGTGGGTTTCACACATATTTCATGGAGAAAGATAAGTAGGAATGTCGTCCTCTGGCTCTGCATTTGCCATTTCCTTCAATGCCAGGATTACCTTAGTGAAGTTATTCCTTTTTTCACCTACAATCAATGTTGGGACAATTAAGATTGTCCTTATTGCTTACCTTACCCCAGTGAACAGTAGGTGTCAGGGTTGAGTTACCTGGTTCAGGACTTACTGCAGTCTAGACCACATGTTGATGTCAGCTGCTAATAAAAAGCTTATTACGCACGGCCAATGGACTGATTCTTATTCACGAATCTACAAGGGCCTTTGTGAAAAAAGATGGACATAGATTAGATTTGTCTATTCCGTTATTATTATTATGGTCCCAGCTGGATTCGTCTGCATATCTGGCAGCCTGAGTCAGGGAGAGTGAGAGCGGTTGCAGTTCCACTTTTGGCCATATTTTAACATTCTGCTCCTTTATGGATTTATTACATACACAGACACATTCAGACCCAAACATTTTTTTTTCTAATGGTGTGTGTCGACGGGCATCATGCAATTGTTTATGTGAAAAAGTTGATATTTGACCTTGTAGTGACTCAGTGGCTGTCAGAGTGGGCAGAATGGTGCCTTTACTTTTATTAACGATTGTGTCTTCAGAGCTCCAGGATCAATTGTTTTGTAGTGTTGAGGTCCATCAGAGAAAACCAAACAATTGATCTTAAAGCCTCCTGTAGAGAGCACTGTGATAGAAAGTAAAGGCGCCATGCTGACCGCTCATACAGCCACTGGGCCACCATTAGGTCAAATAACAACTTTTTCAAACTTGTGAGTCCTCACAGTCGGAGAAATGAGTTCTCCAAGTGATCCATGTAAAGATACAAACCACAAAATACTTCTTAAAGCAAGTAAGCGTATTTGTTTTTATAAGTTTTTTCCCTAACGCTGCTGACACTGCATGTTTGGTTCCCCTGCTGAAGGAGTGTCCCTTTCCAAATGTCTTGGTCAACATTTTGTCTGGGATTTAATAAAGTATAATTATCACGCTCCTGGACCCGAGTCAAGAAACAGGAATGTCCAAATCAAATAAGAGCTTCAGTTTCACAAAGGTCCAGCCTTTTGTTTTTAGTCCAATGTGTTCATATCACACTCAAGGCCAGTTCACAGTTGTTGATTGGTCTGGTTCAGTTTAGTTTATCTGGACCAATACGGGCATTCACAACATTCCAGTTAAGATGAACCAGACAAAGTGTGAATGTGCCCTCAGTTTGAGAGAAAGCATGAAATAAGTAACACTTCAAATATATGTATAAAAAAAACAACTTTCAAAGGGTCAGTGCTGCGATGATACCATCCTTGTTTTTGGGACTGCTGCTTTATGAATTGGGTGGCAGCTCTGATTGCCACCCCCCGACCCAGAAATTGATAAATAAAGGGGATGAAAATGACATGACATGACATCCTTGTTTCCTCACTGCTGCTCAAACACAACAATAAATGCATACAAACACAACTCTAGGCTGAGCGAGAGGTGACCGGTGCTTGAATGGGACCACCATCCTGGTACCAGTCATTAAACACTCTTTTAATGCACTCTACCACTTTTCCAATGAAGACTATACAGGTTAAGCATGAGGTGGGCTAATACTCAAAGAGCGCCTCCTTCTGGTATCAGATACAAATAAAATAACATATACTACTAAAAACAATGTGTTCATACATACAACTGCTGTCTGTGTACGTGTATGAATAATGTAGCAACTGTTGTTACTATGGGGCAGTATCAGGTGGCAGACATAGCCTTGTATTGAATGCCTAATGTATTGTAGACATGTGATTATATACTTTATATGCATAAGAAGGCTTTGTAAGACCTGGCAACTGTTCAACTGATTATTATTATGGTTGCGTTGTTGATATTAACAACCCGGATTGTAAACAAATGGTGGCTGAAAAGGGTTTGTCGTTAGCCTAAACCCTTTCATTCTGTAACATTTTGAATTTATGTTTGTGAAATGCGTGACTTCCATTTTTTGTTTTGTGGTTGACCAAAGTACAAAATACATAATAAAGATATAATGACCACACCTGTTTTTTGTTTACAAGGTGTGTGTAAGCATCTACATCTAAACATGGGGAGGTAGTGTTTCAGATTTTTTCAGCAAAAAAAAGAAACGGTCTTCTTGAAAATGTGAGACAGGCTTCTACTCTGACATGGTTCAAATCCAGGTAACTGCAGTTCTGTTTAGCCGTGCATTCAAGTGAAGGATTGTATCTTAACCTTGTTTTTAAATTGTGATTATTGCTGTGATTTTGATGCCTTGTGTGATTATTTCTGTCCTGTTTTGCTAAGTACTCTGAGTTGCCTTGTGTACCTGTGCTATACAATTTTTACTTTAAAGAAGTCTTTGGCAGGGGTGTCTAACTCATTTTGGTCGGGGCCACATTCTAAAACATAACCTGTTTGGTGCCAGAAGTGTAAAACTGGTATAAACGATTTTTGTTTTGTTTTATACATTTATGTTTTTTCCACTGTATTTGACATGAGTTTGGATACTATCTAGTAAGTTTCAATCCAGCCATAACTGGGCCAAATATCTTATAGATATTCAGCCCAGTTATATGTGTGTAATGAAAAAAATAACTATAACTCCAAATTACCAGTGGCGTTCCAAGGGTACCCCGGGGCCCCAGGCAACATAGTCCTTGGGGGCCCCAATACCGACCACATAACCACATAAAAAGGTATATATTACAGTAGGTATAAATATATATTTATAAATAAGGTAAAATGCAATATCTATTACTTGTTTACATTAATATAAATTAAATGTAGATAATTTTATTTTTTCTTATTTTTTACAATAAATGGATAGGCCTGAGGCCTGCCTTGCAGACTGGACAGTCTATCATAGACTGTTGTGAATACTTCAGAACTTATCGTGACACAAAGCAATGAGATATAATTTAGCATGTCTTTTTATACGCTTGTTGACTACACATGTTATCATGTTATAATTAATTACAAAAACTACCTATCAATGTGTTTTAATCCTAAAAATTCTAATCTTTCATTTGGAACTCAGTATTTATGAAGTCTAAAATAAAGATTAGGCTCTTAGCTTTAATCTGCAAAAAACGGCTTGTTTCTACCTTCTACCGTTCTTGAGCAATCTAAGTAAGTAAGTAATCTTTATTTATATACCGCCTTTCACAGACCAGAGTCACAAAGCGGTTTACAATTGTTATTTTTGGGCACTTGTCCTCTCACTCCACAGAGAGATGGGAGCAGGGTCGCCGAACAGGAGGCGCATGCCAATCCTATTATACATATTTTTAGTGGTAGGGGAAACCGGAGTACCCGGAGGAAACCTACGCAGACACGGGGAGAACATGCAAACTCCACTCAGAAAGGCCCTGGTCCGGCCGGGATTCGAACCCAGGACCTTCTTGCTGAGAATCTGTCATAGAATATAATATATGGTTTAATGCAAAAAACTGCTCATGCCCAGAATCGAACCTGGAAGGCCCCAGAAAGGCTTTTAATTGTTAATAAAGAACGTGGCAAGTTTCGCATCAGACAAAAAGTTCACTGCAGGTAGCTCTTGTAGCCTGTAGAAGTCGACCGCTTGTGTCAAATCAGTTGGTCCTTAGGGGCCCCCTGCTGGTTTGGGGGCCCCGAACGGGCCCCGAACGCCTCTGTAAATTACATTAATATTTTAGAACAGACAAGTTATATGGTTATTTTCCAGAGACAAGAGGCTTTAAAATTAAGCATAACACAGTATATGCCATTTGAGCCCCTTGCTATCAATGCCACAAGTTACAGAAATAAAGTTAATTGAAAATAATTTCAAGGGCCAATAACAGTGGTCTCACGGGCCGGATTTTGCCCACGGGCCTGAGTTTGACACGCCTGCTCTATGGAGTTTGGGAGTGTAATATGAATGTTGACCACCAGAGGGCGTCATGTCGCTGCTATGACACCGGCATAGGAAGCGCACTGGCCACGCCCCTTCATGAATAATGCATCACTTCTTCTACAGTCCACGGTCTGTGGTCGAGGCTAGTGTCAGCGGCTCCTCACGTCAGCCTGGCTCCATTCTCACCGGAAAACAACAAAAATGCTCAAACCACAGTTCTGCGTCTGCCTTTGACCGGATACAGCCTGTGATGAATGAAGCAAAAGAAGACTGCGGATTCGTTCATCTCCAGCTCGTGGAAAGACACCGAGAGGTTGATATTAACCCGACCGTGACCTACCCTTTATCTTCCGCCCGGACACAATACATGACTCCCGCGCTGCAGTGAGGTGCGTTTAATTCATTCTTTTTCAATTTTCGACCCTGAATGTGAATGCAGTAGTAATAAGGCGTGTGTGACCAAAAGACGCGTGCGCTCGTAGATGCTATCTGACAGACACGCCTCTAACGGAACAGACGTGAAAACAGCGTCTCCTTGATCATTTCATGCCTTCTATGTTATTACAATGCCATTTTATTTTTACTTTCATTATAATATGTTTGCATTTCTACCGTGCTAGTAGCTATACTGTCCAGCCGCTGCAAAGGTGATGCCAGTGTGAACGTGAGTATTACGGTGCACGGTATAATTGTATAGTATAGTAACGTAGGATTGCATTTTCTGATGTGATCATGGTTTAATATTGAATAGTATTGGCGAGTGTTTGATAATTGGGCGTGTATTGTCTCACTGTAAACATGCACAGACATCCCATGCTGCTTTATGAGAAGCCTTGGCTCTGTGGCCCTCTTCCATAGAACCTTGTGAGGAAGAGTGAATCAACTTTCCCGCCCTCCTCTTTCTGTTTTTTGGCACATTTATCACACTTTTGGCTCGTGATTCTAAAGTGCTTGTTCTTTAATGCTTGTCTTCCTGGGCCAGCTGGTTGTTAACAGTTGTTTTGGCAGGAAACATAAATCCTTTGTGTGGAATTGAAAGGATTATCTCTTCATAAGGAATGTGTGGCATTAATCTACAGGGTTTCTTCTTCGATGGCAAGATGAAGGTGATTCGTTTCAGGTGACTTGGTAATTCAATCACCACTGGATGCCATCTTTCTCATGTTAATAACACATCTGCAGCAATGCTTTCTGGCAAGTTCATGACGAGCTTGAAACTCATATCAGAGGTTAACCTGCTGAACAATCCACAAAAATGTGTAAAGAGACAATGCGATGGATCATAGTCATTCAGCAGCTATTTTCTCATATCGTTTTCCTCCTTTAATCTTACTCGACAGAGGTACAGATTGGTGTAATCCCACATTAATCTGCCTAGCCCATGCATACTCTGTTTAAAACTGCAGCAGTTTAAAGACCTCCTACTATGTCCATCATTAGTTTAATTAGATCATTCGATAAGTCGGTGGTGCTAATTAAGACGATACCAAACATATGGGCTCTGCTCTGTGGGACTGGTGTGGTTCAGGGTCCGCTATTTGCTTGTCCCCATGGAGTCTTCTAGGAGGCTTATTGCATGGTATTATTGTTTATTGCTGGTGCTTTAGAGCAGATGGAGAGGTGAAACCCTTAACTGTCCACAGCTCTTCTGAGCCACGCCCTGAGGTTCAAACGCTGCTGCTGGGTTTACCTTCAGTGCCCTCTGACCATGAGCTGTTGTACTTTTCCCTCCCACAGTCAACAATGTGTTTTTCTCTAAACTATTTGATCGTGTATCTTTTGCTTTTCATATTCTGGACTGTAGATCATTTTTCACTGCAGTAACATACTGGGCTGAACTGCATTTAAAGTGAAGCAAAAGTACACAAAATAGAAATAAAGTGCTGGTTTTAATTGATAAAGTGGAAATTTTGCTTTTTTCCCTACATAACTCTATTGGATTTACTTGACAAATTCCAACAATATTAGTTATCGTTACATTTAGCTGAATGTATCAATTTAATACACGGCAGAATTATGTGGAAAGGGTTGCTTAACTTTATCAATAAATCCAACACTTTATTAGAGTGTAGCCAGAAACCAGCGTCCGTTATGATCACATCAACATCCTCTGGAGTTGTGTTGTTCAGCCATTTGTCCCTCCCCACAAACGGGATAGAGCCCCTGCTTTTTGAACTGCTCTGCGCTGGCCTCCAAGAACCAGTCCTGTGTAAAAGTGGCTTCATACAACAACTGTTCTGTTTTTGAGGACATCCAGAGCCACCACCGATCGTTTTTTGCTCATGACCAAATGGTTCATTTTTCTGTTTGATACTCTGTGTCTTCAAACACTGAAGACACAGAGTATCTTCAGTATTACAGTAAATTCACCTGTCAGGGGTGATTCAATACTGGACAAAAAAATCACACAGCATTCATTCCCATTTTTTTATTATTTTAGTTTTGGGTGTTCATAGAGTCTACAAAGAATGTGGATGTTGTAGCAAACATTGAGAGCACAAAAGGACCACACAAAATATACAATATAAGTAAGAATCCATCCACTTTCTTCTACTTGATTCATTGCCGAGTCGCAGGGGCAGTAGTCTAGCTATACTTTCCCTATATCCACACTCACTTCCTCCAGCTCATCCAGAGGAATTGTGAGGCGTTCACAGGCCAGCTGAGAGAAATAGTCCTCCATCCTGGGTCTTCCCCTCAGCCTGGGTCTTGCCCTCCCGGTGAGGAATGAGATCTTCACCCCATCCTTCTGAGGGAGTGCCAAGCCACTCTGCAGGGGAAACTCCTTTTGACCGCCTGTAACAAAAAGTAACCATAAAAGAACCTTTCTTTGTCCCACAGTGGGGAAATTGGGATCATGTTTATTCTGTCACTGGTTGCCTCGCTTCTGGCAGTGAGCCCCCGGGCAGCTGTGGCTACAGTACTGGTATATCACCACCGTGTATGGAATGCAAGAATAATGACATGTGAAGCATCCAAAAAGCGCTATATAAAACCAATGCATTGTTATTCGGTTCATTCGGTCATTACCCACAGCCCGTCATCACCCATTAGATGAGGGTGATAACGTAGATTGACCTGTGAATTGAGACTTTACCTTTGGACTCGCCTCCCTCTTTACCACCACAGTCCCACACACATTACTGCACACCCAATACAGTATTTGTCAATGCAATGCAGTTCGGTTTTGCACTGGGCGGCACGGTGGCTGAGTGGATAGCACTCTCGCCTCTCAGCAAGAAGGTCCTGGGTTCGAATCCCGGTCGGACCAGGGCCTTTCTGAGTGGAGTTTGCGTGTTCTCCCCGTGTCTGCGTAGGTTTCCTCCGGGTACTCCGGTTTCCCCTACCACTAAAAATATGTACAATAGGTCTGGCATGCGCCTCCTGTTCGGCGACCCCACTCCCACTCTCTGTGGAGTGAGAGGACAAATGCCCAAAAATAATAACAATTGTAAAGCGCTTTGTGACCCTTGTCTGTGAAAGGCGGTATATAAATAAACATTACTTACTTACTTACTTACACTGACTCGAAATGCGGTGCACACACATATGATTGTGTGTGTTGGTGTGCAGTTGTTTCATCCTTCAGGCAGAAGATCATTTACTGTCGGCTCGTTCTCACATCGAGGAAGCTGCGTTTATCAGCAGTTGTTTGATATCAGTGCAGTTCTTTCCTCAAAGTAAGTTGCGGTAACACAAAAGAACCCCATTTACCCAATGGTTCTATTCAGTCCAACCTCATTGTGATTTATTTATTTTCAATTCCAACTGCTGCCTATTAGCAGTTAACAACAGGAGGCATAGTGGAGGCTCACTTTGTCATTTATCTTTTGTACTCCACGGAAAGTTTCTTTGGTGGCACCAGTTTCCTAACGCTGGCCTTGCTGTGTGTCCTGAGTGATTGCCGGAAGTTGGGAAAGCTTCTCTGGGGAAGAGAGATAAGAGTCTAGAGTTGAGCTAAAGGCAACACCTCTGCACACTGTCATTAATAACACACACTTTTTAGTCAGAAAAGTCTTCAGAAGTCTATCTGTTTCTTTATCAGTCCCATGTTGTCTGTTTATGTATCTGAGCTTGGATTGTGTGGATGATATCTAGGATCTATCTACACATATGGTAGAGCACATTTACTCTACAGTACCCACAGTTTCAAGTTGTGTTTTAGGTGGAGCACATACAGCAGCACTTCTCTTGTGTGTGTGTTGTTGCGGATGTGGAAGCTGCTCATTTGAATCGATTTACATGTTGTGTATGTTGACCACCTATTTCATTCACCTCATTTTATTACATACAATTGTTTGTAGGTGGAAACTAAAATAAATGATGGCTAAAAATAAACAGCTTTTGTTGGAACCGATACAGTAGATAAACACACAGTATATAAAACACATATAGAAAGTGAAACACATCTCACATACATAAGTTTCCCTCGGAGCCTAAAAACCACAGTGACATTTCAGAAAAGAGAACATACAAACGCCACCAGCACATGGGGATAGTAAACGGACAAGTCCAAACAGGTTCAGTCCATTACAAAGGCTTTCTCTCTTGTTACTTGATAATTCTCCTTCAAAGGGTAACACTGAGAACAAAGTGCAGGGAAGTGGCTGTGTGGCAAGTGTTGCGAAGGCTGTGATTTTCAAAGCAATCATGTTCTGTAAAAGGGACAACAAATACTTCAAAAATAATCACAACACTTCAATCCTGTCTTTTTTATTAAACCTCCGCACTGCATACATAACTGTGCGTCAGTCATGTATCCGTGACTCAAAACAAAGTGCAGACACGGCTGTGTGACGTGTGAGGACGGCTAGACAGTTAACATGACTTAATAGGTCACATGATCACCCTGAGTCAGCTCATATATGTCATCAAAAATATATTCATGATTACAGCTGTGATGGTTAACTTCAGTTTTTACTCTCAAATACTCATGCAGTTAAAATGAATGATTATTTGAATTTATTTGAGATGCTTGCATTCTTATGTTGGCACAACTTTACAAATGAAAATATTACATTTCGGTACAAACTCAAAAGGCTGAAGCGGGAAAGCTTATGTGCGCATTTAAAGCACATGTTAAAATAAAATGAATACCAGGTTTTTTTTTGTTCATGAATTTGAATTTTTTTTAAGTAGGAAGATTATTAGAAGTTCATTCGTGTTCACTGAGGCGTGATTGAAGTAAACAAACTGGAAAAATCCTCTCTCCATGGCCATGTGTCGTTCTGAGCTGTGATTGAAAAAAAAAAAAAAAAGGCATTGCCTCTATATTAAGGAATGCATTGTTGCTTTTGCATTCCTTAATATAGAGGCAATACCTCTACACTGCCTTGCGAAAGTATTCGGCCCCCTTGAACCTTTCAACATTTCGCCACATTTCAGGCT